GCAAGCTTGGACAGTGGCAGTGAGGTCCCCAGGACGTAGGTTTGTTTAGAGTGACCTTCTCTTAGATGGATTGCCTTACAGGGCTGACGAGCTCCATCTGCCCGGGGGGCTGGGAATCGAACCCGGGTCGCAGCGGTGAGAGTCCTGCACCCTAACCACTAGACCACCAGAGGCCCCCATGTAGTCTAGGTCTTCAAACACTCATTAATGACCTTTTCAGAACTATGGGTTTGGTGCTTTAAGAATACTGTGCCTGTAAGACGAGTGAATTTGTTAAGGAAGTTTCACTAAGACATCGCTATTAGGCAAATTCATTAAAAGGATGAACAATGAAGTAAAACTACTGAAAAACTGTAGTGCAGGTGAACTACAATCTTGGAAAACATTGAATCTGTGGGACATTTACCTATTAAATGTAATGGTAGTGCAAAGGTAGTGGGAAATTAATGAATGTTGCTAATGAAGTTGTCAACTGAAAAAGAAAAGAAGGGCAAGCTTTGTGACCTTTTAATATTCTGCTACAATTTAATTTGCTGTACACATTGTTGTCATTCACTACAACACCTAAATAATTTCAGCCCCAAAATTCTGACTTAGGTGAAATAAAATTCAAGAACTGAAATTGGAATTGCCAAGGCTGTGTTAAGATCCCAGATAAATACCTACTGAAAAAAATCCAGGAACAGGTGAGTTCTCAAATGTAAAAAACAAAAAAGAGGGTATTTCTTCAGATGATGTATTAAACGTGTAGGTACCTAAATTTAGCCAATTGCATTTGAAAATTCTCTAGCTACATTAGTAAAATTTATACCATCTTTGTTCATTAGGTAATAAATATATTTTTTTTGTCTGGAGTAAGAAAATGGGTAAGAGAGTTCTGGCACTTTACAAAGGCGGTTAGAAGGTGTGTTTCCTCAGATGATTTATTAATTAATATATTCTTGGGTAGAATACAGGATTTTGCACTTTTTCCTACTGTGCTTATCTGGTCCCATTCTTCTGCTGCCATAGCAAAGCTGGGAAAGCAGCGCACCTTGATTTCTGTAAGGTCAAGTAAGCAGAAGTGAAGAACGTCCCCATGGGCATTTTCTGGTCTATCATCAGCGTTCAGAGGCTTCAAACATAGCCTTTGACACCCCCCCTTTCTACTGCAATCCCACCAGGTTTGCACATAGGGTGAACCAGTGAGCCTGCCAGAAACCCCATCCAAAGGGATCTGTCTCTGCCCTCTAAGAATCAGTAAATCAGGTTCTTACCTCCTGTGACACCAGATGGATGGCTTGCAGGCTGGCAGCTGATCAGTGCTGTAAAACAGAAATGGCAGTTCCCTCATTGCTGCTGCACAGAAATCCAGAGTGAAAACGTGCAGATGCCTTGAGAGCAGGTTTATAATGGAGTCTCCTCCTGGACACGAACACTGGAAGCAGCAGGAATGTTGTGGCACATAAGGGCACCATCCCTTCCTGCCAGCCTGCAGACCCCCCTCACCTACCTTGGAGCTTTCCCTGGAGCCAGGGCAGACGTGTCGCGGGGACGTTTTATACGATCTCCTCTGCAGATGCTACAGATGCCTCTTCTTTCTTCGGTCAAAACATTTTTGGCAAGCCTTCTTTGGTAAAGCATTGTCTGGCAAACTGAACTAAGGGCATAATTGTCATTTGACATGACTAGATATAATTAGAAAATTTTGATGTCTTACCAGCTATATGAATACAGCTCCTATAAACAATCTCACAAGGGTGTTAAGGAGGGAATCCGGACTAGTCAAAGCACTTAGAGAACTTGGATTCAGGACTTATGGATTCTATTGCTGGCTTTCCCAACGACTCACTGCACAATCCAAGATGGATTGCTTGGTATGTCTGTCCCAGTTATCCCAGCTGTACAATAGATAAAGCAGGATGTTAAAAGATAAATTAGCATTATTAAAAACTTTTGGCAGTTTTGTTGGTAAAATTCTGAAAGCAGAGGTGCAGATGTAGAAGAGCTGAGCAGGATAACAGGCACAGCAGGATGGTCAGCCAAACACTGCAGCAAGGAGAGGCTGGGTCCTACCTGGGCTTTTATGCTGATGCCTCTGACAGAGATGTGAGGTAGCTTTGGGGATATCAGGAAGAGTGCACACACACACACACGCATGTACATGCATGCCTCTTTGCAAATTGCAAATAAGTGGGAGATTCTCCAAGAAGTGTTATTGTGAACCTTGTGAGGGATTATACCTGCTGAGACTTCTGATCTGCAGGTTAATGCCAGTGAGCAAGAGATACTCCCTGCTTTTGCTGAAAACTTCTTAGTTTATCTAGATAGTCCCATGCCTGTAAACCTAGGAAGGGTAACTCTGATTTGGAATACCTTCCACAGGTTTTTTCCCTGCCTACAACTGATAGAAGAATCCTCTATTCACTCATGACTATACAAATAACTGGACATACGCACAAACACATCATCTCAGCGTGCAGTCCCAGATGCTCTCTACGCAATATATCCTCAGCCCAGCTCTTCCATTTCATCACAAATATCTTGCACACTTAGACATTTGAACATTCCAAAACACCACAGTGATATCTTTACCGGACCACTGGGGGTGGCAGACATGCCTGTACAATGCTGATGGGGGAGGGGAAGTGGATTTGCTGGTAGTGCTGGAGAGACACTGGTCTAGTTTCAGGAGTAGGGCACAGTCACATAAACTGTTTTAAATCCTGTCAGGTTTAGGCTGAGGAACTTAATGCCTTCTTTGCCTTAGTCATCAACAAGAAGAGCCATTTTCCTCTGGGCAACCAGCCCCCTAAGCTGTTAGACAGGGACGGGGAGCAGAATGGACTCCCTGTGACCCAGGAGCAATTAGTGACCTGCTGAGCCACTTAGACACTCACAAGTCCACAGAGCCAGATGAGATTCACCCGAGGGCACTGAGGGAGGTAGTAGAAGAGCTTGCCCAGCCACTCTCCATCATTTATCATCAGTCCTGGCTCACCAGAGAGGTCCCAGATGACTGGAGG